ATCCGCTCCCTGCCCGGCCCGAGAAGGGGCCCCGGGGGCGGGGTGGCTGCGGCGCGCTGGGGGGTTCGCGGTCCGCTGAACTTTGTTCACGTGTCTGAAAACTGCTTTGAAATGAAGGGTCGGTGTCGTATTTCGGCGATTGAAGGCGGAAAGCCGGGACGAAGGAGACTTCCCGGGGCATCAGGTAAGGGCTACTGGACCGCAGGGCAGATGTGCGAGGGCTGGCGGCCAAGGGGTGATTCACTCTGCCTTGCTGGAAATTTCAGGTGATATTCCAAAGTCGACTCGTGAGTAATCTCCGAGTAGATTTAAACAGAATGAGGCTACTGGACCAGCCTTATCGGAGTCCAGAGTCCCGGGGGGCGGGCAGGGGGCTGAGGAGCCGCCGGAGCTTTTGTGCAGCTTCCGCCGGGTGCTGCTCAGTGGGGAGGATGTAACGCGGCTTCTGCTTCCTTTAGAGATCCTTTGTGGAGCTGAGAGTTTGCTTTACCGATATCTTAAGTTAAAATAATGGGGGTGGTACTGGGGAGTGTAGTTTTAAACCATTAATTGGAAATTACTACTACAGAGTATTAAAAGGGTGCCATTGCCATCAAATTTCATGTCACTTTGTAAAATAAACAAAGCTTTATCTCCTTGCTTCACAGAATGTCTTTGAGACTGTAAAACAGGCTTTTTGCACAGAATTCAGAGCTCAGTCGTCTAGTTAGGCTATCCTAAAATACTGCTTTTTGTCCCTGCTCTATTTGTAGAAAGCAACTGAAACAGCATTGTAAAGTTAGGGGAAAACAATAGAAAGTGGTTTTGTTTTTTTTTTTTTTGTTAATACACGAAGAGAAAATGTACAGAAAGGCTTTATCAAGTGGGAAGTAAGGAATTTCAGGCAGTACGGATGGATGCAGCCGAGCATGGTTGGTTTCATTAGGCAGCGCTGGCAAAGGCGCGGGGAGCGGTCCCGTTGGCAAACTCCTCCCGCTGGAGCCGGGGCCGGGGGCGCTGCGCAGCGATCCTTGGCCTTGGCAGACTCTGCCACTAAACAGTTAAGGAAAGGTCACCGAGTACCTCACCCCGAGTGAGTTTTTGCTGGCACTTGAATACAGCACTGGGATGCATTCAGTGCATTTTTTAAACAGTAGTTCTGTGGGCAGATGTAGAAAGTTTGACCAGAGGGCTTTGAGCACTGACCGGTACATTCCAAGCCTAATGATTCATGCTTATGGCTCAAAACCTAGGCTGCAGGTTTGAAGTTCAGTTGCACATTAGTCTTTCTTGCAACTGCCTTGCTGTGTCGTTTTTTTAAATTTGAAAGAAGGACTTGAGTAGTTCACTATTGAACAGTAATTAAAAGAGGTCACTGGATTTGATGCTTATTTGAGCTGACAGAGTTAGAAGGGTGTTGCATGGCTGGCAGATTAGCATTTCTCTATGAGATAATAGTTCTCTGTGGATTGATACCTGCTGGTAACTGCTGCTTTATTTGCCTGTTGTAGATTCTTGGTGAGTTCAGACAGGTGAGGGAGTTTGGTAATGGTGTGCAACCCTTCAAATCAAAAATTTTAAAGATTTTTGTCTAAGTGGATGATGACACGGGCTGTGGGCACTGCCTGCATCCCAAGAGGTCCAGCTGTTGAGATGTCTTTATATGAGTTCCTCTGTCATGGGCTGTTTGATAAGCAGTTCTTGTTCCTTTCCCCATGGAAAGCAGGTAAACTCAGGGTGGATTTTTAATTTCAGCCTTCTTACACTGTATTAACTGTATGTTACTTCTGGGGCAGCCACAGCAGGGATGGCAATGGGCCAGGCATTCAGCATCTCAGCAGGACTCACTTATGGCATCCCAGTGAATGTAACGAGGGGAGTAGAACAGAACTGGGGAGAAGCTTCTTATTCAGCTGCACGCAGGTTTTTCAAGAAGTGCAGAAAAACAATTTGTAACACCCATGGTTTTCCTTTTCTGGAGAGGAATCTCTCCTGCCCCACGTTTTTTGGTTTTTTTTTGTTTTGGACTGTAGGGTGGCACTACCCATGGCATCAGGCTGTAGAACATTTCAGTGTCTGGGTGTTTTAGGGAGCAGGTCAGCTCTTTAGCTGGGTTCATGCTTCCAGAGAATCGTGGTTGCTCAGTCGAGATGATAACGATTCCTTAAAAGTATTTTGCGGGATAGAATTGAATTTTACTGGAAGAGCTTGTGGGTTACCTCCCTTACCCTGAAGGGAGGAGCACTGAAGCTAATGTGGTGAGGCGTGTTTGCTCTGTCTCTGCAGGGGTGAAGGTTGCACAGGAGGAGATGGGGAGCAGGGTTCCACCCTGGCTGCAGGAGCTCTGCTGCTCCTGCCCAGCTCCACCAGTGCCAAACAAACTCTCTCCCCATAGATCTGTGAAACTTGTTCAGTGTGAAAAATAATTTTGTCTGATGAAGTTTCTTTCGAAACAATGTTACCGATTTAGTTTGTTGCTGTTCAAATTAAGTGTTTACGGGGGTAATTTCTAATGTTCCTGGTGAATCAAGAAGTAACTTCCCCGTGCTCCTATTGCTTTTCTTTGAATTTTGATAGGATTTTGGCTAACTGCTTTCAGCATTTTGCTATACAGATGGCATCATTTTTGTTGTGTAGGAGTTTCCTGTGCCAGCCAGAGAAAGACTAAATGATATTTTAAATAGAAAAACAAAAAGAGTTGGCACGAGCCTCAGGGAGGAAGGAGTATGTTTTGAGTGCTTCTCGTTGGTCTTAAATTTGCCTTCTTTCAATTAGCTGTTTTGGGTTTTTTTTAAAATATGCAGTTGTTAAAATTCAGCTTAAACAACATGCACACGGGTCTTGGAATTTCCTGACACACAAAATATCATGTAGAAGTTTTCTTCCTGAGAAAAATAGTCAAATGCAGGATTTCTATAGGTGTTTCTAGGGAGTATCTGTAATATTTGAAGGCCAATCAAAATACACAATTACTGCTTGAATATTTTCATTTTGAGGCTTGACTGGGATGCCATTAGCTAGTTAATTCTAGCTTTTCCTGCTGGTCCTCCCACTCCTCTTGCCTTATCCCTGTTACAATACAAGCCTTTCCCTCAATCAGAGCAACAGTGCTCTTTTTGATCTGCTCTGTTAGCTACAGTTTTTGTGGTACTTAGAAGGCTTTAGAAACAAGGAGGGGTTTTTTGTTTGTTTTCAACCCAGATTTAGCAGAAAGCAGAAGTGAAATGGAGCCATTAGAGAGTCAACCCTGAAACTGTTCTGAGTATTTGGTTTAATCTTGAGGTGGGATGTGACTTCTGCTTTTTGAACCAGGGCTCCCTTAACAATGCAAACCCAGTTACAAGGAGATTCAGAAAATCTGTTTGAGGTGTGTTCTGTAGGGGTTAAAGAGGGAATTTGCTCTATACATTTAGAATACTTAGATAGAAACACTGCAGCCTTTGGTCTTTAAAAATCAAGACAGCTTCCTTTACTCCTGTTTAGTATTTTAGTTCTACTGGACATAAAAACTCTGACTGTACTGAAAGTCACATTATAGACACATAAAGCTTCCTTTATACCCAGTTCTCAAGCTGGCCTAAAACTGGCTTATTTTGTATCTATCTGGTTATTTGTAGAAGAATGTCCATTACCTTGCTCCTTTAAGTGAGTGTTCTGAGATGGAAGGAGACTTGCACAGATGGATGTTTGTGGCTGTCAAGGGTTGTGAAATAGAAAGACATTCCTTTCTGTTCTGTTTTCTTATTTACAAGCTGGGGACTAAGAGCAGGAAAGGATTTTTGGTGCCCAACAGTCTAGAACTCCTAGCAGCAGCTGCTGCACTGCAGAATTGAAGCTGGGAGTTATCTCCTCCTCCTCCTCCTCCTCCTCTCCGCCCCACTCCTCCTCCCAGCCTCGCAGTCAGGCTGGCACTGGGATGAGCTGTGCAAGGCCAGCTGGCTGCTCCTCTCACTAGTGCATTGCTGCCCAGCAGCCTGGGACAGACTGCAGGGTGTTTTTTGGGGACTTGGGTTTCAATGGCCACCCGGACTAGCAAGAAGCAAGGACTGCTCATATGGACAGCTCATTTTTATCGCGTGCAGAGTCGGCTTTGTAGTGGGATGTTGAAATATGACACAATGCCTGTTTGTTTGCAATAGCTGCAACCCTCGTAGCAGAGATTCAAGTGGGAAACAGAGAGGGATTCCAGAGACAAACCAGCGGGGGATTTAGGAACTGAGACGCCGTGTCCTCTCTCCTATGCCGGAGCAAGCAAAGGAAAGAGAGGTAGAGGAAAAAAGACTGAGCCTTGCAACAGCCGTCACCCTGACGATGTGTCAGTCAAACACCCTGCAGGGACCAGAGCTCCACACAGGGAAATGGTGAGATGCTACAAAGCTTTATCTAACCCTCCACCCTCTTGCTACAACCTCCACAAAGTTAAAATTCATGTCCGGAGGCTGCGTTCAGGGAACGGCGGCAGCAGCAGCTGTGCCGGGGACCAGCACCCACAGCTGGACAGTCCAGGTCCGACTGGCTCTGCCGGTGGGACACCAAGTAGGAGAACTCGTTTCAGGTACTGTTCAGTATTTTCTGCTTTGCAGGAATGGTGGCTGAAGAGGGAGGGAGGCTGGGAGGGTTTCTGGGCAGAAGGAGCGGGAGCCATCTGCAAAGCTTTTGTTTGGCTTAATTACTATAAAGCTCCTTATACATTGCATTGGCAGAGAAGGGCATGCCGTTCCATGACAAGGGGAATGGGGAAGCTTTCATTGTACTCTCTAGCACTAGGAGAATGGAAAAACTAGTTGAGGGGCCGCTCTGAAACCAGGCCAAGGCAGTGAGAAGCCCGAGGGCTCCAAAGTGATGCAGCTCTGCAGGGATTGGTCCAGGAGCGACTGCAGTGAAGGGGGGGAGAGCAGCAGGAGGGGGAGAACGGGACCCAACCCGGCTCCTGGCCTGCCAGCCCTTGCAGGCTGCTGGGTGCTAGGGATGGGAGGGAGAATGTGAAGTGTCCTTTCCTATTCCTGTGCCAAGTCTGTCCCACCTCCTGCTGAGAAGCCTGCATTAACTCTGCTAAGACAGCATTTCTGCTCAGCGTTCTTTTTCCCTTTTGCATTAAGATGCACAGACCATTCTCTGTTTATTTATTAGTTCTCCAGGGGAAAGAAGTTGTGTTCACTGCAGAAAAAACATCTCTGAGCCAAAAGCACCATTTTGCATCCTGAACTGTGACAGTTACACAGTTATATCTTTATATACATTTAATTCTCATCCAAGTTTTGAAAAGAACAAGTTGGCAAGAAAATTTCCTTTTAAATTCTCAGCTTCTTTCCATCTTGGAAAGTCATACGCAGTGTTTTGTAGTTCCTTTCTCATGTCACAGAATCTCCTGAGATTCGTGTTGAGAGCAGCCAGACTGTGCCACTTGAGTTTGTGTGTGCACATCACTGTGTCCTGCTTGCAGAACAGTCTCTTAGCCAGGAGTTCAGTCACTCATTTGAATAGTTTGCCCTCAGATAGACAGATTTCCATTTGATAATGTGATCTTGGAAATGCCAGTGGTTTTTTCATGAGTAGAAGCCAAAGAATAAATGGGGACCTGAAAGGTTTTGTATCCAGACCTCCTGCAAGGGTCTGAACTGAAGCCCTTGGTGTTTGTCCTCTGCTAAGAAGCTGAGTAGCTTTTCCCTGTGAGAGTTAGAAGGTCAGCTTTTTCCCATGGTCATTTGTGCAAAATGAGATAGAGCCCTCTCAGAGCCCTCTAGAGTCAGTCAGGACATCCATGTAACAAAAAAAATGAGAGGTGCAGCTGGCTCTGAGGCAGGGGAGTTGATTATGGGACTATGGAGTTCAGATTGTTGTGCAATAGCAGAAATATAGGCTTTGTCCACATGTTCCCTGTTCAGAACCAGGATACTCAGTGAGGGCTTTAAGACCTGGAAACTGGTCTTACCTTTAATTTTTGAGGGTGTCATTCATAAAATGTGACCTGTGAGGGTGAAGGCCATTATTTGGACAGAGGATTTTTGTTTTTTAGATAACGGCTCTTCTATTTTGGGAAGGGGAAGAACTAATCAAAATAAAGGAGTAAAGACTTGTAGTATGAAGGATTAAGAACTGTTTAGCAGGAATAACTGACCCCAGCTGTCGGAAGCTGGTGGCTGTGCAGCTGAGACTCCTCTGATGTTGTGTATGTAATCTTTCAGGTTGCAATTCCCCCAGCTGGCCCTGAGGCGAAGGTTGGGCCAGCTGAGCTGTATGTCTAGGCCTGCTCTGAAACTGCGTTCTTGGCCTCTGACTATTCTCTATTACCTTCTGCCTTTCGGTGCTCTTAAACCCTTGACCAGAGTGGGATGGAGGCCTATGAGCAGGGTAAGTGTGAGCAGCTCTCTCGCGCCGTGTCTGGGAGCTGCGTGTCCTGGAGGAGCTGGCAGCAGCTGGGGGGAGAGTTGCTTCATGCAGGACAGCCTGGTGATCACTGCTGTGAAAGCAGAGGTGCAATTCATGCTTCTCTTTAGTTTTTACTGTTCGTGGTTGTGTTGATTAATTGCCTCACAGACAAGTGACTTTTTGAGGAGCAGAGAATTACTTTGTCCTCCCAGCTATCAGGGAAAGTCAAGAGAAGCTTGTGGAGGAATTCAGTCACCTCACAGTATCAGGGCTAGGACAAGGAAGACCAAACCTCTTGGCAAGTTCCTTTTCCTGGTCTCGTTGAAATGGTCTCTTGTTTTGTGTTAGTTTTGCACCAAGAGAGTTTGTTCCTCAAGTTCATTCAGCATTTGTAGTCCAGTATGTCCAAATGATATACAAATCTCTGCTCTGACACTGTTGAGAGCGTGGGATGGGATGCCTTGCACATAGTAATTCTCCTCACAAACCGCGCAATTTCAGAATCCAACAGCCAAGTAAGGATTTTGATTGCAAACAGGAAATAAATTGCCATTCTTAAGCCTATTTCATTGAACATCTGTTCTGTTGGATCCCATCAACTTGAAAACCAGGCTCCTTTGAACAGAAGGGGCTGCTAGGAAATACCACTTTTGACAATTTGTGTGATTTTACAGTTGTATTTACATTTTCTGTGTTGGTGGAAAACAGCAAAGTTAATTTTTAGAAATTAATAAAGTATAGGGCATGTCAAACAAAATGGCAACATTTTTTAGTTCAGTACTTCAGCTTATATAACCTCAAGTACTGTTCATTTAGAAGGTTTTATCTGAAGTAAGATTAGGTTGGCACTTCCTTTCTGAAATATCCCTGTATGTGCACAGAATGGTGATTTGTAAGTGAAATCTTAATTTGCTCTATTTGATGGGATGTAGCCAGTTCTGTTTGTGTTTATGGCTGTGTTTCTCAAGACTTAATCATGAAGAATATGACTGAGAACAAATGATGACTCTCACTAAGAAAACACCCAAGTTTTAGCTGCAAGTTGAATGTAGCTGTTCAAAAACACAGCACCAGTCAGCAGATCATCACTTCCTTTGCAAATCTGGTTTCAGAGTGTTCAGTTCCCTTGGTCTGTATTTCCCAGCTCCCCCCAGTTACATCACAGCCATGTGAGCTTCCTGGCTGACAGCAAGTACCACAAATCCCAGAAGAGTTGTTTGCTGGAATTATCAACAGGAAGATGTTGTCATCTGTCTGCTTCCATCAACAGCAGATACCTCTTGCCAACGTTGTTTCATTTGTTTTCCTTGCTAAAACCTGGGCTTTGGTGCAAGTCCAAAGGTGTATTCCTACAGAAATAAAGGCACTTTATATTCTTGCAATTAGCAACTCCCACAGTTGTGAGATACGGTGTGAGGCTGGTGTAAGTTTATACCTGTGCAGCTGCATCCAGTGGGTGCATTTATTTGATGGTTCTTGTGTCAGAGTGTACAACACAGAGTACTGGGTGTGGGAAAGACCCTCAGTAGTAGCTGCATCTGAGGACCATGTCATCCAGTCAATTTTAATTTGGTTATTCACAAAAATTTATACATTGGTAATGTTAAAGCTTTCTGATTAGCGTTCTACTAAAGTATGTGCAATGTCTTTTTTATCTGTAAGCTTCACATGGGGCAGTTTCCAGTAACTTCAGAATGGAGCTTCAGCCTGCAAGGGAGTGGGAATTCTGGCTTCACTTCAAAGTTACATTAAGTTTCATCCTGCCTCTTGTCTGCTTTCACCAGAATGGAGGGAATGAGGATGAAGTGCAGTGTACATTTTTTGCTGCCTTAAAGGCTACTTGTAAGCCATGAATTCAAGGGAGGGGTTTGCAGGAGCAGTTTGATCCTCCGTGTGTTACGGGGAGAAGTAAGAAAGCCATCAGTGGGGAGAATGACCTGCTGCAATTCTTCCTTCAGGTTGCCCTGTACAAGTCGGTCCCAACTCGGCTGCTCTCGCGAGCCTGGGGTCGCCTGAACCAGGTGGAGCTGCCCACGTGGCTGCGGAAGCCGGTGTACAGCCTGTACATCTGGACCTTCGGGGTGAACATGAAGGAGGCGGCTGTGGAGGATCTGCATCACTACAGGAACCTCAGCGAGTTCTTCCGCAGGAAGCTGAAACCGCAGGCGCGGCCGGTCTGCGGCGTGCACAGCGTGGTGAGTGACAGGAAGGGAGGGCTTTACCCAGCACTGCCAGCTTCCCTCAGCCCCCAGAGGAATGGCACTGCTTCAGGAGGAATTAATCAACTGCTAAGTGTTTCTCAATCTCTTCTCTTTGCTGTAGATTAGTCCCTCTGATGGAAAGATCCTTAATTTCGGACAGGTAAAAAATTGTGAAGTGGAGCAAGTAAAAGGGGTTACTTATTCTCTGGAATCTTTCTTGGGACCTCGCATCTCCACTGAGGAAATGCATTTTAATCGGGGTGAGTTCTGTGTCAGTTCTGCATTTATTCTGCTGTGCTCCTTTAGTGTTCTCAGATGAAAAAGATGTTCTAAGATGAAAAAAACTAACATTTTCTTGCATTGTCAGGAACAAAAGCAGGTCTAGTACATCTCTTTCTCACCAGTGGCTTTATGCAGTCATGCCTGGCTCATTCTGATTATCTGAACTGAGTTGCTTGGTTCCTACACTTGATTCCAAGATCTGTTGCTATGCCGTGGCTGCAGCACTCCTGCTGTCAGACTGAAATGGGCCCAAGCACTGGCTAACAAAACTGAATAAACTACTCCTTAACAAGATCCATGCTCAAACACTGCCCTTCTAATGATTTAGAGGACTCTTCACAAATTCTGTTCTTAAAGAGTAGCTTTAATGAAAATTCTGTTGTACTGGATTTCAGTTTCTGCTCTTTTGCTTCAGGAAGGGCAAACTCCAAAAGAAAAAGAATTCATTATGATTGAAACAATCCAGGATTTTTATAAAGGGAAGGAACACTTGGAAATACTAGATTCCTGGATGAAACTGATGTTTTTGTAGTCTCACCAATCCACGTGGGCTGCATTTAATCTTCTGCTATTGCACTGCCTGGATAAAGTGGATGACTTCAGGAGGAATATCTTTAACCCATTCCTTTCCCTGTTGCTTTCTCTGCAGCCCCACCTGGTAACTCTTTCCAGCAACAACTGGTCACAAAGGAGGGGAATGAGCTCTACCACTGTGTAATTTACCTGGCACCAGGGGATTATCACTGCTTCCACTCGCCCACAGACTGGACGGTGTCGCACCGACGGCATTTCCCAGGTTGGTTTCTGTTCCTGGGAAACAACTGCAGGGCAGCTATGGAGAGAGGCACTGCTGTGGACCACTGCAGAATGGGACACACCAGTGCAGAAGTTGTACAGTAACATGATAGATAATGGTAGAAAAGTGATTCACCTTAAACAGCAGTATAGTTTACCAGATCAAATCACATATAAATGGTGAAAACAGTAATATTGTATTCAAACTGTTTGGGATCTTTGAAGTACCACCTGATGCATGCTGACCTGACTGGTTCCCAAACACTGTTTATTCAGTTTGCACCTGAAAAAAAGACAGTTCTGCAGATCACACTAAACAGTAGCCTAAAGCATGATCTCAGCTTGTGCTTGGCAAAGAAAATGAAACTGAACAGTTATACTGGAGCTGGGATTGGATGTTTTTGCAGATAAAAATGTTTTACTGCTTGGTATCTAGCAAAAACCTAAGTATTTGGATTTGGTTTCAAACATCATGAGAGAGAGATTGACCTACCACACACATCCTTCTGTGACCCCTTTGTTTTCAGCACAGACTTCTCTTTCATTTGCTCTGCCTGGCACTTGCCTCTCTTCCTACAAAAAACTGACAGAGTTGTTTACTGGATCAGTTCCAGTTATACTGAAAACACCATCTTAGTGGCATTACAATATTGCTACAAACCAGACAACCTAACCTGGATATTTTCTCACTTCTTCAGGCTCTCTGATGTCTGTCAATCCTGGAGTTGCTCGCTGGATCAAGGAACTGTTCTGCCACAATGAACGGGTTGTCCTTACAGGTGACTGGAAACATGGCTTCTTCTCACTCACAGCTGTAGGAGCAACAAACGTGGGCTCCATCCGCATCTACTTTGACCAGGTAAGCAGGGTCATAGCAGGCACCTTTCTGGTGTTAATGGCTGAGGTTGGTGCAGCATAACAAAATTTAAAAAAAAAAATCTTATTACCCTGAAATTAGGGTGTTTCATGGTACTGATATTCTAAGACTGATTTAAACAGTGTTGTTTCCAATATAGGCATTTTTTTTAATATTCCTATTGCACCTTTGAACTGTGAGTTCCTGCATGGAAGATGCCTGAGTATGTAGATGGTGGTGATGAATGAATACAGAGCACTGAAATCCTCCAGTAAATCCTTCTCTTCTTCCTTCTCTGTACAGGACTTGCACACGAACAGTCCAAGTTACTCTAAAGGTTCCTACAATGACTTCAGCTTCATATCCAACAACAACAAGGAGGGAATCCCCATGAGGAAAGGGGAACATTTAGGGGAATTTAACTTAGGCTCTACGATCGTTCTAATCTTTGAGGCACCCAAGGACTTCAAATTCAACCTCAAAGCTGGACAGAAAATCCGCTTTGGAGAAGCACTGGGCTCTCTATAGGAACTCTCTCAGCAAGAAGATTTTCTATAAAAAGGGACTCTTTTCACACCACTGAGAGTTTCACTTATCACGTTTGTATCACTCAGCAGGACCTGGGTGAGGAGAAAAAAAGATGTCACTGCTGCATTAAACTTGAAAGTATTTGGTCTACATTTACCTGCTGCTGAATGTAGGAACTGAATGGAATGATCATGGATGTATCGGGTACAGCTGCCTTGGAAGATGTTGCCCGTGGTGGTTTCTGGCCCGCCCTGTGCCTGTAGTCTTTCATGTTCTCCCCTGAATGTGCCACAGGATAATTATGTTCTTAGAGCCTCTAAGTCCCTTTTAAGCCTTCCTAGGCAGGTGCAGTGGGAAAGGGTGGAGGTAGAGATTACCTGTATTTAAAGAGACACTGACAGGCTGAGTCAGACCTTGTATCTACAGTATCTGTTTTTCAGACCTTGAGTAAAGAATATATTCTCATATTTATTTTATTCTAAGAAACTCTGCCCAAATTCATAGATAAAAGCAGTCTCTGAATGCACAGAGGGCCAAACTGAAATTTTCTAGTGTGGCTTCATGGCCCAAACAAAGCAAAATGTACAAATCAGCCAGCACAATGAGTGACACTCATTTTGAGTTTTGTACTGTTAGACAACCTTAGTTCTTTTGTCTGACATTGTCCCTTTAAAAATGGACTATGCACTGTATTTTAAACCTGAAAAGTGTCTACATTCCAGACAACAGAACCTGTCACCTTGCAATGTTCTTTTTTTAAAGACACACAAAGCTCTGTGTCCTCTTCCTAATCCATGGTTTTATTTTGCTATTCCAGGCCTTAAAGTTATTGTCTTTATGAGAGACAGTTACCTTCACCTCTTGGATTAAGGAGTTAGAAGACACAGGGCATGTTTTTCTTAGGTGATGTGATGGCAACTAAAATACGTTTTTACTTTCAGCTATGTGTCATTACTTTGTCACTAAATTCTTGAAGAATTAGTTCCTCTGTTACAGGACAGCTTCAGCTACTTCAGGACCAATTTTTATTGCATAGGGTGAAATGCTCTATGCACTGACTGTTTAAAATATTTATGGCTCTTTAAAGAAATCCCCTGTTTCTTCCCAGGTGCCAGTCTGGCCCTCCCTTAACTGGCAACAACTTCATGTTATTCAAAATACAAAACAAAAAACCACACTGGCTCTGACTTCTGCCCTAATACTTAATGCTAGGAATGTGCTGGGGGCTGAAATCTTTGTGCTGAAGCTTAATCCACTGTAAAATTTTAGAGCCTCTTTGTGACTTCACCTCAAGAAGAATTAAAATCTAACACCTTGGATCTACTGCATGTGGCACCGACAAAAAAAACACTGCCAAAGTGAAGAGGAATTGAGTCTTAAAGCAATGTATCAATTGTTTTTTTGAGAATAAACTGTTTCAAGTCCCAGCACTCAAACATTTAGAAATGATTTTCCTGTCCAGAGCTTGTTGGAGTGGATGTGCTTATGAAACCTGCCTTTGTGCTTTCTGAAAGATTTCTCGTACTACTTCCTTGCTTGAGCTACTTTTCTGCTGCTTCAAGGAGATGACAGGCTTTGACCAGCTCTGATCTCCTAAAGAAACCCTTCTTTGTATGCACTGCAGAAAATAGAATATAATTTTGTTGTACAAATGTCCAGTTTGCCAAGTCCTGTATGCTTAGCTTGTCATCGGGAAGGAAGGGACGATAAACTGCCTCTAAGTGATGTAGCCCAGGCCTGAGTCAGATGAGGGTGGCTGTTTGGGTGACAAGCAGGAGAAATTTCATTTGGCTCCAGGAGTCAGTGTTTCCTCACTTTACACAGGGAGGAGTTTGAAAGCTTGAAGTGGCTCTCAGCCACCTATCTTGTTAAACTTCTTGGCATTAGCAAGTTTACTCCTGCAGCAGTATAGTACCAGATACAAGTCTTTTAGAACCTTTGAGAGTGAGAAAAGAGTAAGGCAAATATCAGCCCCAAGAGAATAAAGTTAGGGTGAGCTTTTTGATTAAACTTCAATGTTATGTTAACAAGAGAAAACAAATTCATTCCAGTGGATGAGAGAAAAAGACAACTGAATCTTTTCCCTCTTTCCACTGGGGTCTATGACATCCAGACAGAGCCAAAGGAAGTTTGAGCTTTAATTTCTTCCTACTCAGCAGCATCATCCATAGTATCTGAAGGTAACTATTAGCCTAATGATGGAGCATGGGTTGCTTGATGTTTGCTTTATTAGAAATCTCAGAAGGAAGAGAGGATTCAGCATGCAAGTGGCTGTTTTTATGATGGTTTTAATACTGTGCAGAGCGAGCTAATAAACCAACATTGCTTGTGATGCAGGGGCCAGCAATGCACCCCAGGAGTGAAAACAGAGTTCCTTGAGGGTACTGATAATGCTGTGAATTTCTCCTGCATGGAGAATCCATTTAATTCAACTGTATCAGTAGCACGGTATTTTTGTATGTCAAAGTGTATGACTTACTGACATGAACTCATTTAATTGCAAACATTTTGAAATAAAGAGTCTTATCTGTGTTGCTTATCTTTGTGACATGCCAGGTAACCTAAACTAGGTATTGCAAGTGCAGCATGAGATAAATGTAACTGCAGCTTGGTTTAGATCAGCTAGAATAACAATGAAAAAAGCAGAATTATTTTAACTTTATTTATTAAAAATATAAATGCCATACATAGAGCTAAGTGAATGGATGCATCTCTTCCATCATCCCCTGCTATGAAAGGGGCCAAAATCCTATCCCTGAGCTGAGAAGTTGGTAGATGCACTACAGATCCAGGGCAAGCTGGATATCTCGCAGGCGGGCCAGCAGGGCCTGCACATGATGTCTCTCAGGCAGCTGTGCTTTGGTGAGAGTGTTGATCCTCACCTGCAGCTGAAAGGGAACACATCAGCATAAACATCAGTTTGTACAGTGAGACAGTATTTAGTCATTCTGGCAGCAAGAACTGCTTCAGCAGCTTTTGTATTATCTCACTTGAGGTCAGGAAGTGACAATTGTGTCACTCAGGAACAGCTCAGTACTGGCTGGAGTCAGAGGTACCAGTGACCACATCTGGCTGTGGGAACCTGGGGCCTGACAGCAGTGCAGCTCCAGTCTGCACACAGGGAATTGTCTTGACAAATTGCAGAATAAAGTTTGGGACTGAGTCTATGAAAGCTTGATCCACAGCTTGGAAATAGCCTCAGAAAGGTCTAGTGGAGCAGGAGTTATATTTCTGAACAGACAGGGAGATGCATCTACACAGCCTGTTCTGCTCCTCAGTGTACTTCTGACTACAAATTTCCCTTCTCTTGGCATTTTACTAACAGCTTACTACACAGTTCCTCACAGCTACCATCAGCCTTTAGGCTAAGTGCATGGCACAGTGATAATCACTTCAGTAGCTTCAATTTAAATGCTGTGTACACACCTGACCCAATTCTTCCTCAACTCCTTGCACACCATCTCGGGCTCCTGCTTGTGTGCTCTTGTCCAGCCACTGCTGCAGAATCTCTGCCTGCTGCTGACAGCACCTGATAAAAGGGATTAGAAGGATTCTTATCCAAATTAAAAGCTCAACATCTAAGCCAACTTAGACTTACAATTGATACTTGCAATAAGACCTATTTTTTCTTATCTCAAACCAGTCAATGGTTAAAGTATTTTTTTAAAGGTAAAAAAGAAAACAAAATGTGCTGGAAAGCAGAAGAATCTGAAAACTGTCATCTCCACCTCCTGCTTCTAGTCCCTGACTTCCTCCTTTCCTGATAGTTAAATCCTCACCAAGCCTCATTTCTTTTGAGCATTTCTATTTTCTTGTTCAAAATAAGAATCAAATCAAATACCAAATAATTTAATTTTTTAATTGAAAGCTGGAAAAGCTTAGAACTCACTCCTCTTGATAAAATAACAGCTAATTTTCAACTGTTCTGCCCAATTCATTTGTACTGTCTTCAGATTACACCCAGTGATATCTCTGACATGCTTCTGCAAGAGCTGCCAAAGGTATAATTAAACCATTTGGCTGACTACAGAAGTAGTTATGCACATACTCTCCTTCACCTGGAGTGAACTTGAAAGGAGAAAATAAAAATCTCTGGAACTTTTCTCTCATTCATAGTTCTGTGAACAGACTGATTTACTTCCAGGGTGGATACAGAGAAAAGTGCAACACAGTGGACAAAGGCTGGGTAAAGGGGCGTTACTTGAGTTCCTGCTTCCTGCTGTAGTAGTACTGCATCTGCTGCTGGATATGTTGGAGTTCATCTTCCACCTTTCTCTCCAACATCATTTCTTCTCTGGAACTGTGCTCCCTCTTTTCCCCTTCAGCTGAAAGGAAGATGTAAGGCACAAACAATGGAGGTAGAACAGACATCCACTCTTTCTTCTTATCAAATATTTTTAATGAATAATGAACCCTCCCACGTCCTTTTCACATGTTTTGTTATCCTGTGACCTGTTCACCCCAAAGGATCAGGTACAGAGAGAGGGCAGGAGTTCCAACAGCAGTACAAGCTCTTCAAGACTCAGTCTGAACACACAAAAGTTACGAAATGTTCTGGTGGATGGTTTAGTACTACAGACACTGTTCAGGCCTGTTCAGGATTTAGTCTTTCACATTTAGTCTAGAAGTAATTAAGTACAGTAGTCCTGCAGAACACATTTCATGCTCTGTTGTCATTAAAAATACCACAATGACAGGTGCTTAGACCATCTGTCCCCTTTACTCTGTAAGTACAGGGAAATCTCGGAGAGCTCTACCGGATGAACTTCCCTCCTGAAGCCAGTTCTGTAGGACATATGAACACCCCAGCACCTGAGCACATTCTTGCTAAAAAGAAGCTGGCCTCAAGCAGCTCCCATCCTTCAATGCCTAGAGCAGGGCTTTAGCCTCAGCAGAATCCACACAACTGCATTTACCGTCCCAGAAAGGAATACTCACACCCTTTACCTCCTGATGCTGGCACACAAGATTGCCCTGGCTCCCGTACATTTTGTGGCAGTGAACAGCAGACTCAGGCAGATTAGAGAGAAGGATCAGCAACTGCTAGAGTTTAGATCTGAGGATGTACCTGCAAACTGGTGACTCCCTTTTCCCATCCAGTCTTCAGGTGACAGCAAACGTGGCTGCAAATTTGGTGGCAACTTCTCCACAGAATTCTGTTGAGAGTCCTGGGAACAGGCTCCTTTGTGACCATTCACAGGCTGACCTCCTCTCTAGGTCAGAATGATACTGGGGTTTTCCTCAAAGGGTTTTCTTAAGTAAGCCCTACAAGTAGGATGTGCCTGACCTACTTAGTCCTACTCCCACCCAGAGAACATCTTAAGGTACTGAGCCCCTCTCATAAAATCCCACAGATTCATTTTATTTTAAGAAACAAAGCTTAGAAGGTGGGCTCTTTGATTTCTAGCATGAAGGTATTTCACTGAAATTAAAACTTCCCATTCTGTGTGGAACAAAGAGTTCAAAATGCAAGCATCTACTTGCAGGTAAAGTGAATTTCAATTTTTTAAGGCTCTCAGACCACCCACTGCTCCTAAACTGAGTTTCTCTTAAATCCCTGCAATCTAGACAGCAAATTGTAACTGCTCTGAACTCCAAAGAGGCAGCACCCTCTCATCATTTGCTAGGAAATGATCTGGCTAGGAAGACCTCCAGGAAAAAGGCATGAAATACAGAATAAAAGAGGTGGATTGCTTCAGACTAGGGGTAAACAGTTCTTGGGCATTCAGAGGCAGTTCACTTGGTCAGCTGACAGCTAGAACAAGTGAAAAACAGCTCAGCCAGGGCAGTTCAGAACAACCACAACAGAACAATAAGCAATGGGCCTGCTGACAGCAGTCCAGTACACACACTAATTGTTGCTTCAGCAATACACTCACCTCTTCTGAGCCAGCTTTCATTTGGGACATGAAAGATGCAGGAGACCACAGCTCTGGCCCCTGCCCAGCTCGGTGCATGTCCTGTGTCCACAGGGGGAGAGAAGCACAAGTGAGAGAGGGATGGGGATGAGCAGCACTGCCCATCTGGAACAGACATTTACAGGCATTTCCTTCCACGTGAGGTGTCAGCATTAAGTTCCCAGTCTGTGCAGGACATTTATTCACAGATGTTTGCTGAAAGGGCACCTCTGACCTGTACAGGAAGAAGGATTAGGTCACTGTACACTGTAACCTGTTGGTCTTGTCCTTTGCAATCAGTGCAAAAAAGGGGAGACTCTTGTCATTCCCTTGCATACAGTTCTCCAATAAACAGCTCTACTATGCCCACTGTAAGTCATTCACTTTACTTTTAAAATTGGATTTTCTACCTAGTAAAAGGAGGTGCCAGCAATTCCTTGCTTTCTAGAGATTTCAGAGGGAATTCAGGCTTCTGTGGTGGTAACCTGGCTTGTTGAATGGCATTTCTGAAAAGAAAAACAGAACAAAGAATGCCCCAGACTTATAACTATTGCAAATTGACATCAGCTGGCATTGCAGCTAAAAGAAACAGTCCTGTTTCATCCCTCATCCCTGCTATGCAACATTCTCCTTGCATGCAATCATGATTCTTAAAAATTAAATTTCAACCTGTATTAACGTGAGAATCTAGTTCACCATGTGAATGGCTGTGCCAACACGAAGAGTGGAGGAGGTGACAAAACTGAACAGGGCAGAAACTCTTCTTTTGGCAGCATATACTTGCTTAAAGCAATGTGAAGTTACAATCTTATTTCCCTGTAGGATTCCTGTCCTGCACTGAGAAGGTTCACAGACAATTCTTCCTTGCTACTGCCCATGATCAATAGGAATTTTTTAAGGAATAGCTTCCCTAGGGAAAAGAAAGGGGAAAAGAGAAAGTTCAGCTTCTCTTCACCAGGATCTTGATGTTAATCATGTCATCAGATGACTTCAGTGAATAAAATGAGCTTCAGTGACATTAGGTCACTTGGGCAAGATAAGCTCTCCTGATGGCCAAAGTCCCATTAAAGGGATCTTTCAAATGTTTCTCCATGTAACTGTTCCTATGACAAATGGCCAATGCTCCACAAATTCAGTTGTATCTTGAGAAACACACAGTGGAAGGTCTATAGCTGAGCTGGTTCTACCTGTCACTGGCAAGTACAGTCACAAATACCTTCACTATGTGTGGGCTGATGCTTGCATTACACAGCAGCTCTTGTGTAACTCTGTACCACCAGCCATGTGATGCAGAGACAGAGTTCAGGAGAATGCATGGAACTAAGCCATCAATGAGAAAGCTTGGAAACACAAAAATGAGACACATGTAGATAGATTACATATATGCAGTTATTTATATGCCAGAGAAATGGGGGAGAGACTGAAATTTGTACTCACAGGCCATGGAGATCAGAGCCCCCCTCACCAGGGTGAAGTGGTAGATGTCTGCATTTTGAAGGCCATGGCTCTTCCTCTGATGAATGTCCTCTTGTCTCAGGACTAACATCAGGCCTTTTAAATGTCACTTGCTCCTTCAGAGGTGGCAAAAAAGAAAAAGGCTTATTTAATTTCTGGGAGAGAGCCTTCTGTTTCCACAGCATAACACAGCAATACACTGACTGGTAAAGACTGCAGTCTGTCTGCCAACACAAAGAATAGCAGAGCATCTGATGGCTGAGAGCAGGAAGCACCACATCACCTACAGAAAAGGATTTCTGATGCCCTCAAAGCCATACCAGCTCTCTAAACTAAATCAAGAGGTCCACTGTGGTAACATTTGGGTGAGGAGCATTAACAGGGTACTTCTGCACCAAGGCAATCTGCACATTAGCAAATGGAACAACTGAAATCCTGGAAAAGAGCTGGGAATGCTGCCCAGAAGCAGGAAGAGAGCAGTCAATACAGGCATCCTTTTCACACACAGGGCTGGGTGGATACTCCAAGGCAGAAGTGACACAAGCCCACATATGAAGGTATAAGCAGTGCTAAAGCTAAGACAGGATCAGATGTAGTCTCTAATGCTTCATCCTAGCACAGAATTTAGAGACCTGACCCACATGCAAAGGTCTCAGTCAGGAGTACTGTCCATTGCAGAAACTGGCCAGTTTTAAAGTAGTTTCATTAAGAAAGGTTCCCAATGAGTCTGAAGTCCTGTAGTCTCAGCTGAATGAAATGCTTTGAACCAGAGACAGAAGTGTATGTAGGATCAAAACAACAGCTGGGATGTGGAGCTCCAAGATACATACATGCACATACCCACATCCCACACACAGAGCAGAGACCAGAGCAGCCCAGTTCTGCATAAACATCTGAGCAATCACTCTTTCACCTCCAGCTGGTGCTGGGTATGGAGCTGTCCCTGCAGCTGCTTGATGCTAGCAGTGTTTCTCAAGGCACAGGTTGCATCTTCTTTAAAAGGAGTTGTGTGGCAAACTCCTGTGACGTTTTCAATGCCATCTTTCTTCTCCTGCTGCCCCTTGGCAAACCTGAGCCAAGCATCAAATACCTACAACAGGAACAATGAGAGCTGTATTATACAGACAGGGTCCAGGCCAGAGACTGCCCCTGCAGACAGCAACACTCTCCCTTCCACTGGATAGGAATAGGCAGAGCTACAGCAATAGCAAGACACTGCCACAATGACAAAGGGACAGAAATTTAAGTCAGCTGAGGCCAGATGGGGAAAAATGTGCTTATTTTTTAATCAGCTAACAAATGTTAGGGAATTTTCCAGCATCCCAAAATAACATACAGCACCCAAAAGAGGAAAAGAAACAGACTTTCAGTGTGCAGTCTGTTGATTGCAGTCATATCTGCACATCCGCAAACCCATTTGCCTGCCCCTGCCCTGCACAGCTCCTCACCTTTCTCTGCACTGAAAGGGACCAGTGCCACAACGCTTGCACTGTCTCCCGCTTTTCCCATTGCTGCTGCAACAGCTGTTAGGGGAAAAAAATGCACAGCAACCAGGTCAGGAGTTCACATAGCCAACACCAGGAATGCCAGTCAAAGCACCAAGCATGGAGGAAGTGATGGTAGACCCAGAGCAGAAAAACCCACTCAGTTCAGCCAGTCTATGGCAAGGTGTTTCTAGTGCTAGCTGAACCAAAAAATACTGAAAACATTTAAATCAAATTTTCTTGGTCCTTGTATGAACAGAACATGAAGGAGAAGGGAGAATGACTGGCAAGGAGCTAGGTGTCTACCCAGGGGAAAATTCCTTACCCGAGTTTTCCAGCAAGAGAAGGAAGCAGAGCAAAGTCTGTGAGTCATTAGTTCATCTCCCCTTCTCTGCAGCAGCTGCAAGGCAATCAAAACAGTGAGTCACTTGCAGACAAACCCCATTTATCTGAGCCAAATGCTATTAGAACAGACAGCAAACAGCCTTTATCACCCTCCCTTTGCTCTGTTGAGGCCACCCTCAATACCCAAGTGCCCTACAGTGTAACCCCATGTGCAGACATCTACAAGCCCAGCAAGGATTTCATCTGCAGCAAGCTCAGGTTGTCTTGTTAAGTCTGTTACTTCTATCAGTTTCTTCAGGCAAGACACAGCCATGCTCCCTCCTCCTCACACAAAGCTGCCATGCTCCTCCTCAGCCCAGACTGCCATTCCCTTCATCAGTGTGTTCCTCCACACCCCTTACTTCCCACACTTCCCACTGGGGAGGTCGCTGACCTTTCTTACCTTTTTCCCAAGGCACTGCTGATGATAATTTTTCCATTTCACCAGGTACTTCTGGAGCAGGTGCTGCTGGTGGTGCTGTGCTGCCCTGTGCTCCTGAGCCCTCAGCATCAGAGACTCCCTCATTAATTCTTTCCAGTGAAGAAACAGGCTCTGTAAATGCACTGTTAGGGGAAGATAAATCAATTCATGTACCAAAAGGAGACTATTCATCTCAGAGTATCAAATGATCAGCCACTCTTCCAAACTGTTTCAGCAATACTTAACTCAGACAACACTCAGCAGGAACAGTATAGGAAAACTGTGAAATACTTCATGTAACAGACAGGGAGCTGCCACTTGCCAGTCTTCCCTGCTGCCACTGACATTCCTTATAACCTTTAGGAAAGCCCCCTGTGCTTCAGAGTCCTCATGTCAAGAATGTACCGTGGTACCATGAAAATGCTTGCAGAGTTTGAGGGTCTTTCAGTAGGAATTACTGGAGAAAGCCTGAAGCAGTAATTGATAAGTCTAGCACTGCCCTCAAAGCAGATGTCTGAGGTTCTCAAAATTAGTAATGGAAAACTCTTTTGAGGAAGGAAGTGTTACCATCCGTTATATAGTACAAAGAACAAACAGAGATACAAAAGTAACACAAGCAGCATTCAGCAGAGCACTGGCGTCCCAATTCACTCTCCATTCTGTGAGGACATCTTTTGTAAGCCAACAGGCCATCTAGACACTTCATCTGTACAGATAACACCACACACTGCCCTTGGCTCATTCACAAACAATGAGGACTTTTGAGAGTTCAACATCTACATCAGCTCACCTAAATCCAAATGTTTTCTGGCCTCCATCACAGCTGTTACCTTCAGGTGACGGTGACATGCCCGCAGCCAGGCAGTGTCTCTCCACTGCAGCAGCACCTAAGGGTACAATGCAAACAGAGACGGGACACAGACTGGCACTGCAATGGAAAGGGATACAATGTACTCCCCCATCACTGGTAACATAACCATTTCCACCTCATTTTTCACATAAGGCCCAGTAGACAATAAAAATTTCCTACAAATTAAATACAGAAGTATTTCAGAGGGTCCCCTTGGCATTTTTCAAGGTGTTCTTCTCTTTCATCCATCCCCTCCCTACCCCACCTCACCAATACTACTATTGGTTTTCCCTTCCTTCTAAGTAATGAGAAGAAGGAAGAGAAAAAGCCATGAGGTCACACAGGCAGGTTTCAGAGACACCTGTAAAAACAAGATGAGACTCCCACTTTGCAGATCTCTTTTAGTAGTGGCCCTTAGGTTCAAGTTTTTGGTCCTTCTAATTGTATTACCTGACCCCTGCCTGAACCAGCAGCTGTACTGAGACCTTGGCATCTGCTGTATAGATCCTACCTTTGACAGGATTGCTCTCCTGTAGTGCTCATCTGCCAGAGTAGCTGCCTTGGATTCATGTAGAAGAGCAAGGGCATTTTCTCTCCATGTACACAGCACCTGCCTTAAGGCAAAAATACACACAAAAGTTAAAAACAAACAAACCCATTACAGCTGCATCTATAAACTCAGTTGTGCAAATCAACTTCTGCCCCTCAGGTCTCTGCTTCTCTGAAGAGAAGGCAGGGCAAAACACAACACACTCAGAAATCCAGCAGCTTCAGCTGAGCCAATCAGGTTCTATGAATGACTCAAGCTGTATAGCATTAAAACAAATAAGATAATTAAAACTAATGTAACTACAACCAATGTAATGTGAAAATATCTTTAATTGCTCTCCTCACTGTAATGCAAGAGAGGCTCTGCATCTTCCAGGCTGCTTTAATACCTTAACAGACAGGGAATGATGCAGTTTGCTGTCTGATGACTCTTGCAGGACTAAACAGAGATTTAAAAAAATACTCAAGCAAAACAGATAGCAAACAGGAAGAGGTTGATTTCTTTTAACTAGATGACCTGCATACAAAGAAACAGCAATGCATAGCAGAGTCAAGTCCCAGCACATTCAAACATTCAAAAGTTACAAAGGTGGCAGTGAAAGAAAGTAATGAATTTGACTGCAGTGCAGCCACTTCTCTCATGCTGCCTAGGAAGAGGCTCACCACAGCAGCAGCCGAGTGTGCTCTTTCTCCTTCTCAGCTACTTGATACAGAATGCACTGCATGTTTTGTTGGTAAATCTGAAAAAAAATAGTATTGAGAGATAAATTTACCTCAACTGTTAACACCTGTGAAGAGAGGAAACATCTAAAAACTCCTACTAGCATCTAACTAACTCTTACTAACTCATAATTAGCACTGGCAGTAAACTACAGGGGGAAAAAGTATAATAAAAAATATAGCCACCAAAATCAAGCACTGCTTTGCTGTGACAGTCACTACAATATAGTTAATGCTAGCTGTGATACACCATTCACCAGTGCTACAAGATTACCTTGGTTCTGCTCCAAAAAGCAACACTGGAGCTCATACAGCCCTACAGACAAGAGCCTCCATTCTACCTTGCACACATGGTGTGTAGTGCCTCCAGTGAAGCAGTGTGGGAGCTCTTCAGCTCTCACTGAAACATTACAGCACATACAGACAAATGCCTCAAAAAGGCTGCTCCATCCTACCTTCCAAGCTGCCAAGGTCTTGACCAGCAACACATGTCGATAGTGCAGGTCTGCTTGCACCAACTTCCTCCATTTCTCACGCTGATGTCCCACATACTAGAAGGAGGAAATGGAAAAACACCAAAAGATACACACACATGAAGGAAGGAAAACAAGTAATGACAGAGAAAGGAGGGAAGGGAGCATCTCCAGTCTCTGGAGAAACATCAATCCTTCACCTTGCTGTAATAGCTTTTCACTCAAACCAGTGCTGCACTCTGCTATGTCCCCAAAAGGCCTCACTGAGATGGGATTTTTCTCCTGCCCTTTGTAGGAATCCTCTTGAAGACTGATGTAAACCACTCAAGTTAACAGGTCTGCACCAACACAGCAGCTCCAACTACAAAATTTCTCATATATTCTCAAGACACGCTGTAAGACACATCTGGTGCCTCATATCATGGTAAGGAAAAGGCTCACCATGTAAGTGACAGTGTTTGCTACAACCTGTAACACAAATACAGGCCCTGATAGACCTGGCTGCAAACTTCTAACTTAAGTTTTGACAACACACACAGTACTGGGTAGGGACAATTTCATCACACTAACTCTGATTACATTCCCAGGTACATGTAAACCATATTCCTATTCTCACCATATCTAGATACATGAATAAAAAGAATTCCTTCTCCTCCCCACACAGTTCCTGTTCTACCCACACCAAACTGGTTTTATCCACATGAAAAGGGAGGAGAGCTTAGGAATGCCTAGTGTTTAAAATAAACAATTTAACTTCTAGCCATATGGGTGCAAGCAATTCAAACATAACAGAAAGACTTCAAGCTCTCCCCCATCTATTAACTCTCTCACCTCTCTCCATTTGTTCCAAGTCTGCTGCAGACACTTTGAACAGTGAAATCTTAAAGCTTCTGTCTCCTTGAGCCTCCTATAAGAGAAATAATGATTTGTCCTACAATGCAATCCATGATACAGGACACTTCTAGCACAGACTTGAGTCCACATTTGTTATTTTCAGTAATTCATTTACTGAAAGACAGCTTAGTAGACTCCAAAGCACAAAAAAGGAGTAAGCACCATTGTGAATTAAATGCTGTTTGTCCAAAGCAGACTGCCACAGGGCCAATCCAAATCAATATCTGTTTGCAAAAATTCTTACTCTATTTCTCTCTCGTGAGTCTTTTGTTTCCACAGACAGAAGGCCTTTAGCAGCAGCTGGTTACTGTAGTGATGTCCTGCACGAACCAAGCCCTCCCGCTCCTCCAAACGCGCAGCTGTTCTTCCACGCCAGCAGCACCAGAAGCAGCGCAAGAGCTGCCTTTCGAAATGAAGGACAGCCTGAAATGGATGGGAGGTGGCAATGAGTGCACAGCACAGACAGCTACAGAAAACAGGAAACAACTCCTTAAAGGTGACATGCACAGAACTGTCCAAAGTTTGCTCCTCTGAGGTTGAACAGCAATGGACACACCACCAAAGCCCCTTTGCGGTGAGGTTATGTAACGTGCTCTGGAGGTACCTGTGTGCATGTGGATAGGGGAGCTGTTACCAAACACCAGCAGGCCAGAGGGAGGAAAAACACAAGCTGATAAATAGCATGTGAAGGACTCCTAAGAACTGATAAGCTCCAAAAACCAGTCCTGTTGAATGTACAAGAACTGATAATCTCCCTCCACCAAGGGTGAGCCGTATCTGCACAAAGACTCCCACACGTGTTACTGTCAACTTGGAGTTGTGTGAGAGACCTCATAAAGACCACAGTGCCTGCTGGATGTAAAGTCTCCAGGACTATATACATATATATATACACCAACACCTCCTTAGAAAATGAAGGGCCCTGTATAGAACTTTATTGACACCTATCTAGAAGCAGCCAATTTCTCACTACAACCCTGCACTTCTTAAATGGGCTGGGGTTGGCCATTTATTATTATTATTATTATTATTATTATTATTATTATTATTATTTCAACAAAGTAACTATGAGACAGTGTGAGAAAGAGAGCACACACATATTTACAGGATGAGGGAATAAGTGAATTAACTATGAGAATGGAAATCCTCTAATAATAACTTGATTCTATTATTTAAAAAACTGCTTAACTTAAAGAATGTGATTAGTAAATATTGGTTGTAATTTGTTCCTCCTGACTTGATCCCTCACCACGGAAAAGGGAATTTACAACAACCAAGTCCACTTCATGATAACTCATATTCACAGACAGTGACTATGAAATCATCCCCTCTATTTCCTAAGCAAGGCGCAAGAGTTACATTTACCCTCTTCTCTCCCATTTGATATTCTTGCAGCTTGCAGGCCTTCAGCAGCCATGTGTCAAATACCTGCCTCATCAACACCCTCCTGGCAAGCAAAAAGGGAAAATGTCAGCATTTTGTCAGAGAGAATTCCTTCAGAAAACATTGATCTTATGAATGTCAGCTGACTAAATGAACCTAAGAGCTAAGCTTAACCACTCTCCCTCTTACATTCCACAGAGAAGCAGATGTAAATTGTTCATTACTCACAGAAAATGTCAAAGCAATTGCCATCAAGTCATGCCCCCAAAAGTATTGCCACACTTAAGAAGAGAACCAAAGGCCCACAGATTCCACATTTGTACATGTTTGTATTAATATTTCTCTGCATACCTATAACGGGCATGAGCCACTGATGTTAAGGCCTGCTGCTGTTCTTCCTCCTTTTCTTCCAAGCGGGACTTCCAATGGTTCCAGTACTTCTGCAGCACCTGAAATAAAACAAGACACAAAACCCTTCAAAGATATCAAGTGAGGAGAAGAATGCAAATAAATAAATTATGAAAGTCCTAATGAAACTGCATCCTGCACTGCTTCATATACCAAACTTTGTATCCTCTTACAAGTTTTTCTGGTAAAACAAAAAATCCACCATAAACACAGAGAAATGAAAAACTAAACATATTTAAGAGTGGCAGTTGACTCACACAGTTTTTATGTGGCTATTAGCATTTAAGAACAAAGCCACTGCTGTAATAAAAAAGTCCTTTTGTAGGTGGAAGTCAACAGGACAGCTCAAGACAAACTGACACAAGAACCTGTTGAGTTTTCAGTGGGGATTACTGGATCTCAAGGAGACATGAGCAGTTGTTGGTTGCTGTAAAGACATTTATTATATGAATGCATCAGTCTCAAAGGCAAAGAGTTCAGAGAGTTAAAGTCCATACTAAAAGCTTCTGGCATAAAGTTCTGAATTCTGAGCAGCAACTTCCCAGCACAGAGTTTCACTGGTCCAGGCCACAGAAGCAGTTGCAGTAATTCTTCTTCTTCTTGATGCTGCCGTAGTTGTTCTTTTTTGGGTGCGTGCTTGTCTGAGTGAGTGTGATCCCCAGTACAGGGGATTAAATTTCTAAATCATTCAATCAGCTAAAAACACTATTCTAAAAAACATTTTTTCTACACCAATCTAAGCTTAATTCTTAATTCATGAAAGCAGTGTTCATTTTACCTAAATCTTACATATAGTGTATTATCTGTTTACGTGAATAATCCTATCTGTTCCATCTAAGACTGCAAGTTGTGTTTTCATTATGTCTGGAGTTAAGTTGTATTTGTGTAGAGCAATATCACTGAACTTTAAACAGGGTAATAGGACTTTTTCACTAGCTAACACAGACTCTTAAGGCATTTAAGCTATATGAGAACTTACTTAAAACTAAAACTTATACTCTAACTTTATATCTGTGGCTTAATAGATTTTAAGTTTCTCTAAAGGCTGTAACTCTAAAGGCTTTAATTCAATCCCTGGATTTCTTTTTCTCCCTGAGTGACTCAGAGGAGTTTCTACTTCGTGCATTCCAACAAGAACCAAAGTCAAACTCACTGTAACTCGATGCTGACGGGATGACAGATTTGTTCTCATTCGCTGAAGACGAGTGTCCAGGGCATTCTGCCGAAGACCCATAAAGCCAAGTTCCTGTAACAGCAAGAAATAAACACAACTTTCATTTGTAATCCAAATCAAGTAATTTAGAACTGATCTACAATCCTAGAATTCCTTGAGAGGGGGCAGAACATGGTAAATAGCATTACGGGAGTATCCTACTTCAAATCACTAATCATCCTGCTCTTATAATCACTAATGCTTTCACTTCATGATCCAAACCAGTTTATTGGTATCCTTTTAATGACCAGTACTGATCCAACCTTGAAAATAGTTCAGTACCAAAAAGCTGGAGGTTTGCTTGTCCCCACCTTTCAGACAGCCTTCATGGATTTATTTTTTCTTTAAAAAAAAAACCCTAATACCTAAACAAAACCCCAAAATAATCAACTAATTGCACATGCAGCAAGCCATCTTTGGTCTCATATGAAAAGCAGCATGCACACATTACTGCAGAGAAGAAAAAAATAATTCTTGTAGCAAACAGCAGAAGAAAAAAAATCAAGGGAAAAGGCAATCTCATGGTGGAATGGCCAGGGAGCAGGTAACACAACACCATCAAGAAGAATCTACTTCAGCAGGTTCCCAATTGAAAGAACAGCTGTTCTGGAGAGCAGCACCATTTCCCCATTTGGATTCAATTGGCAGATTCCAGAACAGTTGAAATTTAGAAACCTGGTGTATCTCCCACTTTACACCCACACACCACTGTCAGTGTTACAGGGACACTCCACAGCCCCTCCCACCTGGCACATTACAGTGCTCTTACCAACAGGTGACACTTGTAGTGCTTTTCAGCCAGCTCACACTGCTGAGCCTCTTCAACACACAGCACAACATCTGTCACTGAGTTAAAGTATCTTTTACACAGCAACAACCTTCTCCCACAGAGGGGCACTACATCTCCATCTAAATTTGCTTCAGTGTTTGAATGTCCAGCACTGCAGAAGTTCTGACTACAGTCAAACTTAGATTTTGCTGGCTTATCACAACATGTTTCTAACTCACTCTTAAGTAACAACCATAAATTATCATCTACAGGCTCTACCATACTCTTATACAGCTGCTAATATACTGTAATTACAACAGTTTAATGACTTGTTAGTATGGCATCACATACACCTATCTAATGACAACGTTTGTTGTCACCTGTGCTACTGCACAACATTCCTGCTTATTAACTGGATCTTCCCCCTGCGGGAATGTTTCTATCTTGTCTTTGCTAGAGGCTAAACACAGATTGGATACAGTGCTTCCAGTGTGCAAAGACTCTCCATAAGGCAGTCCTTGCTGCTTGTTTTTCCAGGTCCCTTTGGTGAGCATGCATTCTTCTGCTGCACTCCCACGACAGCTGCCAATCGGAGAAGCAGCGCCGGAGTGTCCTGCTTCGGTGAAACTCTTGGGCCAGCTCTGGAAGACAAACACAAATCACTCATGGGTTGTTCTGTCCTAGGTCCATTTGTGTCAATGAGATCCTGGAATCTGAGCCACTGGTTCACAAGTGACATGAGCTCTAACACTGAAAAATGGTTACAAGAGTTCACATTAATGCTCAGCTACAGATCATATTCTTCCTATTGATCACAAAGGCAGTTTTAAAGCAGTAACCTCCTGTACTGACTTAAGAGAGGGAAGCTGAGACACTTGTTCAATATACTCAAGCTTGCTTACATTTCAGCATGCTCCTATTACTAGTTCCTACATATCCATATTCTTCTCCACTGCCACCAATCAAAAAGCAATTCATACAAGTATCAGAACTCATTCCCATTCAAGGGAAGAAACAAAAGAACTGATGTAATAATCTTCACCATCCTATAGGAGTTGTGATTTGACTAATTATCAAGAAAATCCACAGACTGACTTATCAAAGTCTTGAACACATCCTTCTCACAGATATCTCAGTCAAAATACAATAGACAATACGCAAGTTTTCACTGAGGGAATTGTAAAGCGTTTTCTTTTAAATCCCATGGAAAGCAGGTGATCTTCCTGACAGTTCAGCATATGAGCTGAGCCAGCCAGGCCTGTCACAGTGTACAGCCCAAGCTGCATCTCGTGACCTTGGAGGTTCAGGTATCCCAGCCATGCTCTCAGGCATCTCCTCAGTTCCCAGTGCTGATGGTGAGTTACTGCCCTAGTGCTCTTCTGCTTCTCATTCCAGGTGTGTAAATACAGCTCTCGCCACTGCAGCCAAGCCTGAAGGAACAATTAAGGGGCAAGGGCAGTAAGGGGGAAAAAACAGACAAGATTAGAGAAGTAGAACAATGACAAAGGGAAGAAGAACAGACATAATAAGAAATTCCATGTAAGTTCTAAAGGTGAAAGCCATGAGCAATGAGGTTCCCCCCCCCAAAAAAGGGAAAAAAACCCAATAAAAGCCAAAGAAACACTGAAGGAATGTCAGCATAGAAAAGGTCAAAGATTTTTTTTTTCCCCTCTTTTAAATACTTTCACACTTTATCCCATTAAAAAGACCAATATAATACTTCTCTTTTGCCAACAGGCTTTCTTTCAGAGTATTTTCATATAAAAGAGAATCACATCATGAGATACTGTAAGACTTCCCAAGTCACAAGATTCCTTCCTTAGCAGAATACTGCCCTAAAACAGGCCATGTTGCATCTTACAGCACAGGTCAAATTAAATACCATCCCTTCTTTTTAATGAAATGGACAAAAAGCCACAGTTTCAGTGAAAGAAAGAAAGAAAGAAACCCATGCTGTTTTCACTTCAGCTAAGATCAACCATCTGGACAATACTCTCAGTCATCTGATTTAGTTTTAAGTACTCCTGCAAGAAGAAGAAAGATAGACTTGATGAACCTCAAACTCTGTCAGGTTTGGTGCTGTGACCACTTCCCTGGGGAGCCTGTTCCAGGGACTGACCACCCTCTTAGGAAGATCCTTTTCCTAATGTCCAATCTGAACTTGCCCTGACATAGGTTCATTCCATTTCCCCATGTCCTGGTATGATATTCAATCATAAGTACTGCAATTTGCAAAGTAAATGAGTACAAGTCCCAATTTTTATTCATCTGCAACATTTTCACATGTGTGCAACTTAAACATTAGAAATGGCAGTAGCTGAAGCTCCTGAGACTTACTCGAAATTGCAGGCTCTGGGCCCAATGCTGCAGAGCCAAAATATTCATTTTATGTCCAGAGCATTTCTGGTAATGTTGTCTTCTCCACACTGCCCATGAAATGCTGCCAAAACAATGTTACAGACAAGTTCAAACACGAGTGCCATAATATGGTGCAAGAAATCACTTTCATCTCACTGGAAAAAGGTATGAACAACAATCTTTTCAAAGAACCGCTGTCCACTATCCCACATTGCTCCAAGTCCCATCCAACCAACTTCCAGGGATGGGGCATCAACATTATCTCTGGGTAATCTCTGGGTTTCAGTGCCTCACCACCCTCAGAGTAAAGAATTTCTTCCTAATATTTAATCTAAATCTACCCTCTTTCAACTTAAAGGCATTCCCCCTTGTCCTCTCACTGCATGCCTTTGCAAAAGTCACTCTCCAGCCTTCCTGTAGGCTCCCATTAGGTATTGGCAAGCTGCTATATAACATCTCTTAAATTCACAGTCTGTGGGTGTGCCAGAACTCACACATCCCAGAAAGCAAAAGAATTCTTAAAAAAAAAAATCAAACACTGAACAAAGTCACTGTTTCACTGCAGGAAAAGATAACATAACACATATAAAAGCCATGGCCTTATGGTCAGTGCCTCTCTGCCTGTTTGTATTCCATCCTTACCGCAAACAGCTTCTTTCCCTGAATGCCAGTGCCACAGACTGCATCCCATGTTTTGTCCTCTGAACATCAACATAAACCAGCCAGTGCTGCCAGGTCCTGAGCAGAGTTTGCTTCTTTGCTGTGCACGACAAAAAACGGCAGCATCTTAAATTCACCGCAGGAATCTGGCACATCTCAACCACGCCATCACAGATCGACCCCGACTCCTGTGTCCACAACCTGCAGGGACACCTTGTGGGAAAGCTTGAAATGACAGCGACCCTCCCTGTGGTCGAGGTTGTCACAGAGGTCTCAGAATCGCTGACAGCACCGTCCATGCCACTTGTTCACAGCAGCGTGAATTATCGGACAATGGCCCATAATCGCTTTTGTCTTCAGTGCTTACAGGGGAAATAACTGTAGAACAACAGTCAGCATAACGACTGTACTAGGTAAAAATTAGAGGATTTTCTTTGGATTGTTTAAAAAAAAAGAAAGTTCATCAGGTTCACTCGTTGATTTTCAAGAGTTATTCTCTACTACAAGCAGAGAAATCAACCAGAAACAAGCCAACACTATTTAGCAGGCTGGTCATGCAGCTAAAAACAGAAGTGGTGTCACAAATTCCAGTTTACCACTTAGTGCAGCACACTGCATATTCTCCTCACAGAAAGCTGGCTTGTCAGAACTGACACTATTAAAGCAAAGTTACTAGAAAAAAAGTCATTGATTCTATGCCACTTTACACTTACACATAAAAAAAACCCCAGACTTTTCTTTTTTAGGATTTCCTTGTGAATCAAGCATTAACCTACCTTGAAACAGGTCACCTTTTTCTATTTTTGACCAAGTAACACACAGCTTCTGCTGTAAATACTCTGGCTTCACTCAGTAAGAAAGGAAGTCTGGATAGCCTGTCAGTTTGTGTCCAAGAGTGCCAGTCTCTAAGACATTCTGAGTTTGCACATTTCATGTGCAAAGAGAGCAGTTAATTTATTCTGCAAATCAGCACAGAACAAAACCTCGGTATCATCTTTAAACAAGGGTCAACCTCCCCTCAGCAAAACATATTCCCTGAACCCAAGAAAGCTGCTACCAGTACAGACAACTCCAAGTCAAATCCCTTGCAGAGCAAAGAACCTACACAATAAAGACCAAGGGCATTTCAGAAGTTTGGGCTTCTTTCAATTGCAAGCTGGAAGGAACAGTCAATAGACATAAAATAAGTGCAGTTAAAAGCACAGGGAACTATTATCTAATGTCTATAGCAACAGTTGATAGAGAATTCCAGTAAAACATTCAATCAAAAAACATATTGTGATTAAGTTAAAAAAAACCAAAACAACCAACTGAACAAAAAACCACCAAAAATCAAGCCACCCCCTCAAAAACAAAGAGTGCAATCCAGAGCAGATGGAGAGGCCCCTAAGCTTATTCACTGACATCCCTAATGACTATATAGCTACACCCCTATAACAGAACCCCCCTGCCATCTGCTCCTGCACTGCCATGGGGTGGGGGAGCTCAGGGTGCCAACAGGCACAGTGGACACAGATTCTGATAAATAATTCCCCTGGAAACTCCCATCTCAGTTATGTCCCCAAACATCCATCACTTCACCTACCATGAGACTCTGCAACATAATACTTGTTCCTCTTTCCTTGCTGTTGGCATACATAGGCTCGCCAAACCTTGAATATCAAATTAAGGAGTAAAAGCCTGAAAAATGAAAGAAGTGCCATTCAGTAAAATATGAAATTAAGCAATGAAAGCATTGCTCTTGGCCCAGATGGATAGAACTTTTCATTGGTTTTTAATTTCTCATACACACCCCAATGGGAAGTCATTTCACTAACCTGTAATGGTTGTCTGCTCTGAGGTCGAGCTTCTTTTCTCTGCAAACTGTCCACTGCTCCTTCCACACTCCAAAAGTCTTTTGAAGAATCTTCTGATCATAAAAACATCTAAACAGTTGAAAGATTTGGACAGGAGAAATGTCATGTAGGTTTCCAGACTCACCACAAATCAATTTTAATGAAGATTACATCACCTCTTCTCTCCAGGCCTGTCTGATTAACAACATCTAATTGCATTTAAAACCACTGCTCTACCTTAACACTTTATTCCACGACTCTATGCAGTACTGCATCAAGCAATCACTTTACTGATTGTAAATACTTCACATAAAGACAAGGAATAAAAGACAGATGTTGTTAACTTGTCAAACATCTGAATACCAGTTGACTTGAGACCTGTTCGCATCTTTTATCCCCAGTTCTGTGTTTTACTCTAACAACCAGAACAGTAGATAACAATACCTGTATTTTCCTTTTTAATTTTGTTCTTTGCTATTTTAACACAGAATATTTTATATACATAAATGAATACAAAAGCTACATCAGATTTTATAACGCTTTTATCATGTAATAACAGAAGAATAACAGCAGAATTTTAGGCCCAGAGTACCTAAAAGTCTCTCATATCAATCCTCTCACAAGTTGCAATTCACAGCCACCTACCCCAAGCCAAGCTGCTAAGTCATTCCAAGCACTCATGCAGAAAAGGAAAAAAGAAAAAAGAAATGAGCTATGTGCTATTTTTTTTGACTTGGTGAATTAATGGTATTGCACATGCATTAACAGGTATTACAAATTAAAGCTATGGAGAACCAGGGACTTTTAAATCTAGAAAGGCAATTCATTATTGCTTGTGCTCCTTGCCGGTCTTTATAAAATCTATTTCCCCTAAAAAATAAATTCATCATTGTGCTGAATTGATAGACAGCCAAAGTAGTGCCAATTAAGAAGATGTGACAAGAGGAACAGTGAGGTTCACAGGACAACTTCCGTTTACCAACGAAGACAGAAACAGAATATATTTGATACAGAAAAAAGAAACTGAATGACTAAGGGCCTGCTCTTATTCCAAATGCAAGTCTTCCCACTGGGAACTGCTTCAGTTCCCAAGGGTGTGGCCAAGCAAAAATGAACATGCAAATTTATGCAAAACAAGAAATTAATATCAAAGCACAGGGTTTCAGTAGCTCACAGAACACTGACACTAGAAAAGAACTGTCTGTCACAGGTATTTCCAAGTCAGACAGATACCAAACATATACAGGTGTACATTAAGAACAACAGTACAAATAGTAATATTAACTGAATTTCATATTAAGAGTTGGACTCAATGATCCATGTGGGTCCTTTCCAACTCAGAACAGTCTGTGAAATCTCTGTCATCATAACTTTGGGAAACAGTTAAATTTAAAGCAGGTATCCCAATCATGTCCCATCCTTTATATGCATATACTGTTCAATTTTATCAAACACAGTTCCTGTGAAATAGGTTAATAGAAGTTTAACCACAATTATTAAAGACAAAAAAACCCAAAAAACAAAAACAACAACAAAAAAAGCAAGAGCAAGGAAGCTACTCAAAGAAAATCTTCAAGTGATCTCAAAATACAGCCAAATATTTTCTTGGTAGCCAGTACTCTCTTAGCCCAATGGTTTACCACTAAAATAAAAATAAAACAAACAAACACAAACCAAACCAACAAACAAAAAACACAACAAAAAAAACCAAACTACCTCTGAGTTCTGAAATTTTATCTACCTGGCTTTGGAAGGGAGAACTTGTCCAAATGTCATTTTTGCCCACAGACAGAAAAACTTCCTCGCTAGATATCTGGAATTCAAGGAAAGGTTAGTTACCTTTGTAATCCTCCTCTGCAAATCTCCAGGCAATAGTGATAGTAGGAATTTTTATTCTAATTCCAGTACTAAAAGTAAGGGTCTAGTTTTCAGAGATCAATGCATATATTAAATATTTAGACCCTGAAATTATTACCTGCAACAGAGCAATTCATAAAGAGGCCCAAGCATCATTGTAAAACTTAAGTTGGGATGTACTTCTTTAGGAATGCTGGGTTGCCAAAATGCCTTCCAAGCAACCCTCTTCCATGCAGTGATACCACTGAGCAGGGTGCTGCCTGGCTGGGGGCCCTTTCTGAGGTTTCATTGTAGTAATATCATTCTTTTCCCCCAAGCCAACCAGCTGACTCCAGTCTAATGTCTGGCCCTTCCTGAATCCAGCAGATCTTCTTTCTTCCCACCTCCCCTCAGCAGCTCCACATCTCCACAAGTTTCTCCCAACACCAGCTCAGCTCACTAATGTGTCGCTGTGACAATATCACCTTCCCCTTCTCTTTTCCCAATGGATTTCAGAGTTAATTGGAGGGCCCCAATAAGCACCAAAAGCTTTCACAAGGTAATTAGTTAAAGCACACAGCCAGGAAGGGGTTCTTAGGAACTTTAGCTCCCTCTTTCAGCAGGTCTGAGCTGCTCCATCAGCTCTACAAATGATGGGATTTTAATCTCTACACAATTACATCCCACCTTTGTCAAGATTCTTTCAACAAACAAAAGAAGCAAATAAAAAACACTAGAGGAAGGCAAGAAGAAATCATTACACCTGGCAGTGTATCAAAGAATATTGTTAAATAGCCATATTTAAATTTGCCTTTGAAAAATAAATAATATGTGGGTCTTGACTGTCAATCCTCATCCTCAAGTTAAAACAACATCAGAACTGTCTGCCATGGCCATGAACTAAAACTTCTGCTGTAAACTGCACTGGTACTACTAAACCCAGACATTTTTAGGTCTGATCTCCTGCTCCATTTAGTGGAAAATATATTTTGTACTTATCACCTGCTTTGGAATTTCTTTAACATTCTTCTTTGACTCTGGGTATACGCATCTTGACCTAGCTTGTTGTGACCTCTGTCCTGAAATTCATGTGTTGCAGACTGGGGAGCAACAGATTGTCCGGCTGCATGAACTTGATGCTCAGGTGGTTGCTGGATTTCATGCATTATCAGGGATTTTGAACTTAGAAGGAAAGGAGAAATATTTTGTGAAAAACAATATTACCTGCAAAGAAGTGGCATTATTTCAATAGCTAGGTCTGTAACAAAGGTATCTAATCAAATACAGAACATGATAGCTACAAAATGCTAAAACATTTATTATTTCTTTATCAGGTGTTTTTCAGTATTTGGAATTTTCAACTTTCCCCAACACAAACAGGAAGATATATTTCAGTGTCATGTCACAGAGAACTCTTTTATCCTGTAAAGTTGAAATGAAAACTCACTCAAATGCATTTATGTGCACACAGGGTGTCTTCACAGAGCTCTGACTGGGGTTTTCTGCTTTTTAGTCTCAAACATATCAAAGTATACTGTCTACTGCGAGATATTCTCTTGAGCACTAATGAACTTTCCATTTCAACATAAAATACCTTTTACGAGCTCTTTAGTTTTGTTCATATTTTAACTGTGTTCCTCCCTAAAAAAAAAACAAACCTGAAAATCGCTTCCTGTTTTTACATATTCATTATTAAAAAAACAAAATTAGACATATTTTTCTATCACATAGTTTACTTTCACATATAGTTCTAATCTGAAAAATAACTGGTGTGGTTTTATGAATTCTAAATATTTTTTCTTGGTAATTTTCTGAAAACAAGGATAAAAAAGGTCCTATGCAGATAAAACTTGCTACACCGGTCCCACTGAAGTTTCTTTCCCAAAACAAATGCTGCCACCACCCTGAAAATTTGCACACTGGAACCACAAACACATTCTTGAGTCCCAGAAGAGGATAATCTGAAATCTCACCCTAACAATCTCCTTAACTGAGCTAGGGAAAACATGGCTGCAGCCAGAAAAAAAAAATGTTGTTTTCACAAAGTGACTGGAATAATTCAAGTTTCAAAAGTTCAGCTGAATAACCACTATTAACAACAAATCACTGGGAGGAAATACAGTAATTTTGGCTTGTTCCAGCAGGTTGCAAAGAGTTAAAAAAAAAAAAGTTAATGGAAGAAAACAAGACCTATATTTTATGTGAGAAATTCTTGTTCTATAAAATATTACCTGAATGATTTCTGAAAGAGGCAGGCCCTGTCCAGCAGACAGAAGAATTCTGTTCACATCAAGATGTGCAGTTAAAGTAACTCTCTGTGCTTTTGTAGAGGAGTTTCAGGCACTTTAAAATTGATGCAAAACAGTTTTTAGAACAAGTTCTTGTACACACCTATAAGGCCCAACTCCCTTTGAAATTATTTCATCTGCCCCAAAGGTAAACCTCGTTTGACCATATGCAATGACAACCTTACACAAAGGAGTTGAAAAAATCCAACTTGAGTAAAACATGCAGAAGTTTTGTATTAAAATCTAAGGTGCGTGAATATCTAAGTTTTCCAATATATGTACTTTTAAACAGATTATTTCGCTATTTGAATCATTCTTATGTTCTGTACATATTTAATGATGACAGCCTATGTCCCCCAAAATTTATGGCACGTGACAATACTGAAAAATCAGTCAAAGAAGGATCATTTCTCCCTTGTAAAGTTAGAAAACAAAAGCATGGGAAGAAAAAGAACTAACATGGAGTAAATCTGTGGCTGGACCAACAACTGTGTTGTTCCAGTCTAATATCTCAAGCTCAAGAAAATCAGTTTTATATGTAAATGTTAAGATAACGTAAACCCACATAAAGCTGGGTTTCATGATCGGTTCGGGGGTGAGGTGTTCATCGTTTTTTACTTTGCTTTTAAGCAGAACATTTTCTGGTTAACAAAGTTCCATAAAGACTACTAAGCCCTTCTGTGAGAATAACATCAGCAGCTGACTCTTTTTCACCCTTTCTAAAAAATACTATGTTCTTCTCCTTCACAAGCACTTAGAAATGAAGGGGAAACAGTGAGTTCCACCTAGCTCCAGTGAGAACTTCTCCATGTATGGAACCCTGTGACTTCCAAAGGTCCCAGGAAGAGTCTGACTCTGTAAAAGCACCTGGAATTATGGCCAGGCATCTCCTTTGAAATGTGAGATCCAAAGTGGATTTTTCTATAAGCATTGGTTAGGGTGTGATAGAAAAAAAAAAACCCAAAAAAACCCCAAAAACCCAAACAAAAAAAATCAAAATAAAAAACCAAACAAAAACAACAAAAAGAAAAAATTTAAGACAAAACCCGACAAGATTTCCCTGGAGTTTTACTGCAGAGATTCTTTTCAGTAGGTCACTATACTCTGAATGGTTTTTGTGCTTATGGACAAACACTGGAGACCCACGCGGCGCTGTTCCACAACCCCGCCGTGAGGGACCGCAGGAGCCGGCCCTGCCCCGCTGAGGGCGCCACAGATCCCGGCACCGGCGGATGCGGCACCGGCACACGACACGGACGGGCAGCACCGAAATTTGCAGGAAAATCCACTGCAAAGGGGAGAGAAGCGGAGGGAAGGACCAGAAACGGGGGAACCCACTGCAAAGGGGAGAGAAGCGGAGGA